AGCGCGATCAGTATCGCACACGCGACAAGTAGAGTAGAATAAAGAATGATAACCTACTTGCCTTAGAATCCAGCGCTGTTCTCTGCCCTGAGTCGGACTGAAGTATGTATCCGATAGACCTGTTGTCTTTTCGGCTGCCATATTGGCTTTCCCAAGTGTTGCTGTCGTGTGTTGGTCGTAACTATCTAGAAGCCAGAGATATACAGCGCGACGTGGTGACGTGTCGAAACTTGCTCTAGACTTCATGGGTGCAGCGAAACGCAAAAGCAGCAGCCCACGCTCATACCAGCGTACACACAAGCACCACGTCGTAATTCTCAGATCGTCGAATCCAGGCGCCCGTGGTCGAGCACTCCGAGCACGACGCAACGCCAACCGTCGCCGGCAAAATACGGGGAAAGACAGCCTACATAGGAGGAGAAGGGAAGAGGGGGGATGGTCACCTTGGCAACACTTTTTGCGCTGCCTGCAATCCTCGGGCGGTTCATCCCCGTGGAGCGTGATTAAAGACTAAGTGGTTTCGCGCGGCACGCCTCCCTCGGTGGTTGCTCCTCAATGGTCTATTCGTTCATTGCGCGCGCCTATTGGGCTCCACTACTCCTTTTTCGGGTAATATTGCCTTAGAGTGTACTACTACTACTACATACATCAGACGACGTACAGACCCACGCCTTAAGAAGCTTCGCCCCTAAAACTTTTTAAAGAATGGTGATATTCATGATCGAGGAACACTCTTGGAACTCAGTGAAAAACGAAGTAAGCTTGGAGGATATCGCTTCATAGTTACCGTTTACTTTTACACTAGGTTGGGGCAAACCAAATTTCCAACAACTACCTCATGATCACTAATTCCAGTCATAGTTGTAACTGACCTTATGAAGGCGGGATGATTACAAAAAACAAGATCTAGTATGTGAGCACATTGCCCAGTGCACCTTGTGTGAGATGCAACGAACTGTTATTGCAATGCGTGTTCCCCAACGAGCTTGTAGCGTCATCATGACCACCATTCATCATCGTCATTTCTTCTAGCCATTGCGCTGCGCCTCTCGTGCAGCTCAGGCCACAGCTCGAGGCGCGAGCAGGTGGATCGTGCCTGGGGTTTGGACGCTGAAGCTGCCACCGCTACACTTCGGCAAATCACCTTGGATGCAATGACCGACGCTCCTGAGGACGACGTGCCTGGTCCGCCTATGACACGACAGACCGCCCCTTGTATACCACCTACACTGGCGGACAACCACCAGGCTGCCCCGACGTGCACGGGTACGCCAGCCGACCTTCCGGTAGAACCCACGCCTACTGGGTCTCATGAACTCCCTCCAGAGTCCTTGAAGGGTGACACGACCTCGCAACAATGCACCTTGAGTTGACGTGCCTCTCGCCACCGCCCAGGCGTACACTACCTCTCCATGGCGCATCGGCCGACCAGTCGTTGTGGACCTGCTTGCCTACCGTGACCTTCGTGCACTTCTTCGAGCACGGCGTTGCCACGTCCGTCGACTCGGCCATCCGCGCCAGCACGGCAGCCGCACTGTAACGCTTAGGTCGGTGTTTCGTCGACAGTTGCGACCGCACCAGCACAGCCAGCCAACTGCTCTTTGTCGACAGCCTTGTCGGCACCATGTTCACTGTAGGAGACTCCATCACGACCATTCCAATACATTGCTTGGTCATCATGGCTCCGCTTTGATCCATCAGACCACTTCTCCCACGTCACCGACTCAGGTTTTTCAGCGCCTTCCCACGGCTCTAGATGGGGGCACCTTTGCCAGCCGCGTTCACTCGAACCGCCGGATTCGCTCTCAAATTCTCCCAACCAGTCGTTGTGGGACGCACGTGTCTAAGACTCCAGCGACCTGGCTCTTTCATCTCCGTCCACTGCGCTTCTCCCAGTGTCGGTCACCAGAGACCCACTGGTTCCCGATGGTCTTTTCTCGTTGACAACCTGGACTGCTTACGGACACTTTGACTCGTGTCACGAACCTTCTTGTATATACGCCCCCATCATTTTTCATTTCTGCGGGGAGGGGGGGGTGAGCTGTAGCGTCATCATTACCGCCATTCACCATCATCGTCATTTTTTCTAGCCACCGCGCTGCGCCTCTTGTGCAACTCAGGCCACAGCTCGAGGCGCGAGCAGGTAGATCGTGCCTGGGGGTTGGACACTGAAGCTGCCGCCGCTCCACTCGCGGCAAATCGTGACAAAGGAACAGCATTTACTGCCCGTTTGATGCAGTCTGTTATGAAGCTCACCCACACCGATCATAGAAGGACTACAGCATACCATCCGCAAACAAACGGATTAACCGAAAGGCTCAATAGAACTCTCGCCGACATGATCTCGATGTATGTGGATGTTGAGCACCAGACATGGGACAGTATTTTGCCTTATGCAACATTTGCGTATAATACCGCAGTACAAGAAACGACACACTTCACGCCATTTCAACTTGTTTATGGTCGGACGGTCACAACGACCTTAGACGCGATGTTACCTATCAACGATTCGAATGAGAGTGACCCACACATCAGTGACTACATAGAAAGGGCAGAAGAGGCACGGCAATTGGCAAGACATCGTATCATTTTGCAACAAGGCTCCGATGCAAGTCGCTATAATCTGAAGCGGAAAGACGTACAGTACAACCCCGGAGACAAAGTGTGGGTGTGGACACCTATACGCGCACCTGGCCTATCGGAAAAACTGATGCGGCGCTATTTCGGCCCTTACAAAGTACTTCGCCAGTTAGGCACGCTAAACTACGAAGTAATTCCTGAAGGGCAAGTGTGCTCAACCCGACGCAGGAATCGCCCAGAAGTCGTACATGTAGTACGAATGAAACCGTACTACGAAAGGCACTGAACGAGACAACTGATATATGTGCTCAAACATCAGATAAATACTCCTTTACAAAACTGTTCGACGTCAGCGTACGCATCGGGACGATGCGTTTCGGGAGGGGGACTAATGCCGCATGTTGTTAGGCACCTACCGAAGTCTTGCCCAGCTTCCTGCTCTTATGAATTCTGCCACACCAACTGACAAGCCAAACGCGCCAAGCTAAACGCGCCAACGCGCCATGCAACGCTGGCTGCAGGTGTCTCCACATCACGCGCTGGACAAGGAACGCTGGTGGTTTTTCGAGGAGCTGCCACACCAACTGACAAGCCAAACGCGCCAAGCTAAACGCGCCAACGCGCCATGCAACGCTGGCTGCAGGTGTCTCCACATCACGCGCTGGACAAGGAACGCTGGTGGTTTTTCGAGGGGCAGCTCGAGGCGAGACGCAAGAGAAGTTGACGAGGTTTTGACCAGTGAGCTCACGACCTTTGTGTGTTTAGTTGACGGGCACAAGTTCGCCATTAATAAATAGCTGTTTTAGCTTCCGGCACTGTATTTGTTCGTTACAATACTGTCATTGAGCCACAACTCGGTGCCAAAATTTATATCGGCATTTGTAGTATGTACTAAGTCTAAAAACGCAATCTTCTTATTTTTATGCTCCGACAGTTAACAACACTAAAAACCAGGTCTAGCTGATCATCCCCTTGGCACCGAACGGAGTGCTATGACTGTTATTGCAACGGTTCGACGTCATCACTGGAAGAATTGTAGATAAATGTTCGGGCCCCTATAATCAGCTTATTGAAGCAAAGCCTGAATGTTTCTTTGCGCTCTTCGGCAAATGCGACCAGTTTTCTTCTTTCCAAACGAACTTTGCTTGAGTAATCCTCGCTTATTGACAGAGCGGTTCCTCTCAGCTTGTGTGCCCTCGTAAGTACATTTTGCTTTTCTTTGAAAGAGCGAAATTGTGCTACAATGGGCCTGTTCTTCGAGGTAGTAAAGCGGCCCACCCTGTGAGCCCATTCAATGTCGGATGACGTCACCTGGGCACCGAGATGGTTCGAGCAAAGAGATAGCATCCGACGTTCAGAGTCTTCCCAACTCTCGCCTGATGCATATTTCACTCCGTAAGAGACCAGGTTATTTCTGCGCGACATATATTTAAGGCCATCTCGGCGCCTTTCAACTCGGTCCGACTGGGCTGCAAGTGAGAAGTTTGTAGATTTCAGCTGTTGGAACTCGGCCCCTAACTCTTTTAGCCCACCAACACCGCATTTAATCACTGTCAATCGAGCCATAAGCTCTGTAAGTTTATCGTCAGCAGCCTTTTGATCAGCTATAATCTTTTGAGCACCTCGAGAACCTTATCCTGACCGTCATGTATTTTTGGCAATGAACGCATTGCTTCAAGAAGTTTGTTGTTCCCTAGTAAACGGTCCCGGATTCATCTCGACGTCCCCAGACATAGAAGTCAGGGAACGTCATACCAACTAGCTTGAGCTGGTTGGTATGACATGACGATAGTTATAATGCGAGAGCAGAACGACAACAAAGAGACGTGTCCTTCTTGTCTATTTGCCGTCGTTTTGTTCTCGCGCTATAACTATTGTCCTCTGACAGCAATAAACACCCCCACAGTACAGAAAACACAGCTTAAGATTTTTCTTCAATTGTCTCAGACAGGCAATGAAAACAAGCATGCACAAGGCATGAAAGGTAGGGTTTCAGTGCCATTATGCGAGACCACTCATATCGATAAACGGAAACATGGCAGTAAGATATACTAACCTGAAGAGCGAGAGACTAACCCCCATATTCTAGAACGCCCCTTCACTCAACGCTCCACCTTAACATGAGAAAGTCATATATATATAGGGACCTTATGAGAAAGCCCATTAGAGCGCCATCTCTAGGCAGGGCAAGTTACTGCATAGAAGCGATAATTTGCTGCTATTTTTTAGTAGCGCAGCGTCATTTTCAGCCGAGCAGCGGCGCAGTGCGCAACTCTGTCATGTGGAGGGTGAAAGTCGAGTCGAGGAGCGTTTGTGAATACGGGGGTAAGTATCTCGTCCTCACGACAGCACCGAATTCCAGCGGCGGCTGGCGAAACAGGCTCTTGACATTTTCGTGGCGGCGAGAAATTTGGACGTTCTTGGGTAGTCCAGGAAACTTTATTTTATTTCATGGCCCCCAAAGTTACTGATGCTAATGTTTATAGTGTCAAATTGTACAGCTAGCAGTTATCTTTCAAACATGGTTAGTTTGAAACCACAAATTTATTACCAATAGTACAAAAAATCATCGAATGAAAAACATTGTAAATGCATGAAGAAAGAAATTTCATAGAACCATCAACACTGCTCTCAACAGTCTAAGCATAAAAAGATATCGAAATATACATTTTAAGCGCAAGGGACACACGGAGTTATGCTGCATATATAAGCGCTGTAAATACAAAATTTTTGTGTACATAAAATAACATTACACGTAAGTCTTTTTCATGCCAATGTGCGAAGCAGTTTGGCGATGCAATAAAACACAGGTTTGCTACGCTTCTTCACCAAAAAACATTTGCTTTCTGTTCATCTTTTTTTTTGTTCATAGCATAAATTACAGTTCCTTTTTTTTTTTTGCTGGCGCTGTTAGCTCTGGGGAGCGTTTCGTGTAGGAGCATCAACATGAACTGTGACACCTCCAAGAACTGTCTTTCCCTCTGTACGTCGGCTTCTGAAAAATATGTGTCCAAGCATGTTTATTTGTGATTCTGCATAGCTCTCCAATGCATTGAACAGTAAAAAACAAAATGTCGACAGCACTCACGAAGCGCCGCGCGGCACTACGTAACGCGGTTCGATGGTTCATTTCCGGCTGCCTCCGCGCAAGAAACTGCACACTCTGCGCTACCGCCGGCAAGTGGTCCCGCTCGAAGAAAGTGGACTTCCTGCAGATAAGAACCCCAACCTTCAGAACACATCGGATCAACTTACGCCGACGCGCGCCGGCAACAACGAGGTCCGAGCACGAAGCTAAACTGACCGGTGGACGACCACTGATGTTCCGGGGCGGTTTGACGAACTCTCGTCATCCGTGCTGAAAACAAAAGTGTCGATGTCATCTTCCGAGCCTGTGCTGTTGTCATGTGAATACTCCAGCCCAGATGCACGAGAATCCCCAAAAATTCGCCGCTTTCGTGAAGCAGTCACACGCGAAGTCGACGCCATGATTGAAACTATGCATGCTCACTCGCCCGCATGGAAAAATGTCACCACACAATGAAAAAAGAGAAACACAAAAGCGAAAGTGATCAAATACTTCTCCTTTTATGCGATAAATAGCGCAAGGGGTCCAAAAGCTTTCGAAACAGGGCAAATATTGAAGTTGTAAACATCGAAAACATATACTATCGATAGGAATAGGCGCGGTCACGAAAGTGGTAAATAAGTTCGTGGTCCCATGACGATACATGCGATACCCATGGCGGTTGAGTGACGATATGCTTGATCTCCGGGAAGGCAGCTGTCAAATCCAGCACGTCGGAACACGGCTGACAGCGATGAAGCACCGGGCACTGTTCGGCGTAGCATGCTTCGTTGATTTAAGAGGGCATGAATTGCACATCGCCCGAGTCGACTAGCGCCTGCAAAAGCTGAAGAGCAAAACACTGTGCAAGTATCCCGTCCTCATGACAGCACCGAAACCCTGGATCTCCATTTTCCATACAAGTGTTACGTGATGTTCGTTTCAGCCGGCAAGGAGTTCACTCTCTGTCAGGTCAATTAGGCCTTGATCAGACACTACGCCTCGGGAATTGTTCAGAGAACGGCACGGTTTCAAAAGAGGTGAGGTGTTCTGACAGGTTTTCATACTGGGTCTTGTTTTGGACTTCAAGAAGGTCGCCACTAGTTATATAACCTGGCTTTTTGATACGACAAACGGAGAAATTGTTCTTGCGTTCTTTTCTTGTTTTCACAGCGAATAACATGGAAGCGCGAGAAAATTGCATTAAATTGGCTTTGTAAAGACAATCAGTGTTGCTTCGGTGCGCCCCCTTTTAGGGGGAAGGCGATTAGAAAGTTTGGGAAATGAAAAGAGGCCATCAAGTGTGTATAAATTCGGCAGCATGCATGCTAGCCGCCCGCTATGAATCACGACAAGGGGGGCGCGGCAGCGCAATGGTATAAAGCTATGCCAGCGCCAGCTGTACAAAGCCACTATAACCCAATATTGTGTGCCTAAGAGAGGGCAGATACACAAGGTTAACCCTTGCCGCCTGGAAAAAAGAAGCAAATAGGAGTGAGGGGATGACAGGAAATATTGAAAAAGAAAAGAACGAAGATCACCAAACAGAGAGGCAGGGTGACTGCCAATTCACCCTGGGTAGGTGAGCCCGGGGGTGCCGTCTGCATGAAGCCGGTGCCAAAGAGGTGTGTTGCCTCTGCCGGGGAGGCCTTAAAGGTCCAATCACCCAGCACTGGCTCAACCCTTAGGGTCCCCTTTTCCCGGGAAACGGCAATGCCAGGCACGGCTAGGCGTGGGAGGGAGTCTAACCCCTGGTGGCTCGGTGGTGTCACCACAAACCAAACGCAGACACCCCTTCGGGGTCTTTCCTGTGCTTTATTTACATTTGCATCCTGAACCTTCGAGAGCGATGTATTCGTCAGTGTTTTGCAGCGTTTTCAAAATTTATTCTAAGTTCTTGGAGACTAGGCTTAGCAAGTGTGACTAAATAAACACAGATAGTTTCCTTAATAACAACAGAACATACCTCCTGCTTTGTCCCTAGCGTGAGATACCGCGAAGCGGTAGCAGATTTCACAATTTATTCATTACTGTGACGGATGTGAGCGAGTATCAAGCACGATATATTGGACCGATGCGGGTGGTCGCGTCTGCATGGGCGCTGTCATGTTGGCTTCTATCCTCAGCTACGGCCTCGGCCGCTTCGCTGGACCGATTGCGTTGGCAGGAGCAACTGGCTGGGGGAAGGCCAGTTACAGTCACTTGAGCAAACATGGTAGCGCCCGCGCGACACAGCGGAAAATTTTCTATATGTACCTTTTAAATACATTTTGCAATGCCCTTCTCTCCACGTACCAATATCATGTGTAAACATTTACCTACTTCTCTGAAGGCACGTTTCACTTTCATGCGTTATACCAATTTCTACATTAGAGGGATCAACCACATTTCGTTTTTCAGCTGTACCCTTGCAGAACACAAGTCGAAAAGTATTTGGTTTGGGCTAGCTGGTTCATGGCACTCATTTTGAAAGGCCAGCGCAACGACACGAGGAAAGAAAGACAGAGAGGCAAATACCGCTTTTTGCCTTTCTGTCTCTCTTTCCTCGTGTCGTTGCGCTGCCCTTTCAAAGTGAACACAAGTCAACTTATCGGAACGTCTGTTTCAGAAAGCCCTTTGTTTAAGATTTTTTTCTCTGATGCTTCTATTTTTCGGCTCCTGCTTCACGAAGTTCCTTCTCCTGACTGCAGCCCTGCTGCCTTTTCTTGGTAGAATATATATATACAAGGGAAAGAAGTGTATACTTAAGGGCTCGTTTTTTCCTGTTCTGACACAATATTAATGAGATCAAACAGACAATAATGCCAAGGAAAGTATAGGGGAAGTTATTAGACCGAAGAGTAATGTAAATTTGAAGAAAGAAAAGTGAGTGAAACGATAACTTGCCGTGGGCAGGAACTGAACCTGGTATTCGAAGGTCGCAAGTTCGGTTCCGGCCCACGGCAAGTTATCTTTTCACCCACTTTTCTTTGTTCAAATTACCATTCGGTTTAACAACTTCCCTTATACTTTCCTTGCCATGATTGTCTGTTAAAATATATATATATATATATATATATATATATATATATATATAAGGGAAAGAGGTGTATACCTAAGGGCTCGTTTTTCCGTGTTATGACACAATAATAATTAGGTATAACAGACAATAATGGCAAGGAATATATAGGGGAAGTTATTAGAATCAATGTAATGTAAATAAGAAGAAAGAAAAGTGGGTGAAAAAACAACTTGCCGCGAGCAGGAATCGAATCTACGACCTTCGAATAACACGTCCAGGATGACAGGATTATATACAGTAGTAGTTAACAGCGTGATAGAGGGGCTTAAGAGTATAGCGTTATCTTGCCGCAAACGTTCGTTGCGGAGAGCGCCTTGTAGTTTAGCGGGATCGCGTTTACGTGCTTCAGCTTTGACGGTGGTGCCACCTGTAGGAGTGCGAATAACTTGAAGAACAGTGAAAATATAATAAAACGAGATTGGTGCCTGTGTCACTGCGCAAAGCAGTGTTACAAGTTTTTTGTAATAATAAAAGGAAATAAATATGAACCACATACAAAACGCGAAAACATTGGTCTTACCGCCGAAACGTTGGAAGTAATAAACATTTTCACACGTTCGTCCATCGTTTTTCAGCGTATACAAGTTCTTGAAGACGGGGCTCTCGTCGAAATGTCGGCTGAATAAACAGTTGTTATGTGGAAGCGCATCTACATTTATACTTATAACCTTGCGGCAACCGAAGTTATTCTTCTGCATATATGCCCTATACATACATATGTATGTATGTATGTATGCATGTATGTATGTGTGTGTGTGTGTGTGTGTGTGTGTGTGCACGCGTGCGTGCGCAAGGAACTTGTGCATACCCGATAAGTGCACTCGCCGAGAAGCAAGTGACCGAGTCAGGCTCATAATGTTTGAAAGAGCATGCATGTAGTAAGCAAAAAGCCGTTTCACATGAGTAGGAGAAAATTAAAGGGGTGGTGACACAAAATTTCGGGGCCGAGATATCCTGCAGGGTCTATTCTCGTGAACATTCGTATATCATCTGCAAGATATCAACAGCGAGTATAGCTTGAAAGGTATTTTAAATTCATTTTGAAGTTTGCGTGAGCAACTGACTGCATAGCGCTGTAGACACCATCGGAGGGGACTCCGAGGTGACCCCTTACTTCCCTCACGTCACCAAGCTACAGTCAACAAAACAAGTTAAGATAAAAGCCATCATATATATATATATATATATATATATATATATATATATTTTGCCGTGTTAATTCCCGTAGTATATATTTCTCGGCAGCTGGTTGCGAGTGCGGCCGTGGCGCACGCTTAGAAAGTTATATGTTTGGCGACATTCCAGTCCTGTTTCCTGTTCGAAAATAATTCTTTATGCAGAACGAGCAGAAGTGCATCACAGTTTTGTGTGCTGATGTGGTCAAGAGCTGCACACGCTAGGTGGCGATAGTTGCACCCTGTTTTTGGAACTCTCTGAAACCGAAACTGATTGATAATGAGGGGCCTGTAATTAATTATTTATAGTCACGTGCGGCAGCAAGCGATGTGTCGTGTCATGACTAACAGGCCCCCAGCAACGAGAGGCCAAAATTTTTGTGTCAGTACCCCTTTAAGCATGAAGAAGATGACTCGGTAGATCGTGAGCTGAAAGACAAATGTGATGTACTTTCTTCTTTCTGTTGCAGGCCCCTGTACTCAGATTTGGGTGCACGTTAAAGAACCCCAGGTGGTCGAAATTTCCGGAGCCCTCCACTACGGCGTCTCTCATAATAGTATGGTGGTTTCGGGACGTTAAACCTCACATATCAACCAATCTTCTTTTTGTGTTTTTGACGCTTTAGACATCAGAGATTTTCATTTATTCAACTAAAATATGGAAATTGTACAAATGATTAGAATCTTCCCGTTATGAAGTAGTCAGACAATACATGCCTGCTGTGTAGTGGACAACAAATATTGCGATGAAGCGAGAAAGCAATTTTTGGCTCTTCCTTACAGGCTGAAAATTCTCTGCTGTATGGGGCACAATATTATGCAGCTCACATGTGGACATATGCCCCACTTATAGGTTGCAGGGAGGCTATATGCAACAGCTTACATAAATTTGGTGATGTACCAAGTTCCTTCAGACAATATCGAAAGCGGTTGTTTCCCCTTTACAAGCTTCTCAATTGTCCAGACAACCAAGGACGACTGGAACCACGCGTGTAAAGGCCTCATTCTGTTTAACAGACGTATATTTTGATAAACTTTCTATTCCGATTGATTCACATGTTGGCACAGGCATCCTTATCAGCGTGTCATCAGTAGCCTGCCAGGTTCGGGAGGCCGCGATTTGAGGCGACCCCAGCGTCGCGGAGGCCACACTCGGTGCGACGCCCTGGCAACCAAGAGACCCAGAGCCACCGGTCCGAAACGGTTGCTGTCCAGCGAGTGGGCGTGATTGTCCCCTTCTAACCAGCAGTGGCCCCGAGGCACGGTGACCAGCCGCTCGCGGTAGCCCAGCGTGCGAATCGTGTCCCCTTCGACGGCCACCACGCGCTTGATCAGCCGCTGGGTCGGGTCACGTGGGGACCTGCAGCAAAAGTTCGTGTTACTCCTTCCTATAGAGTGAAAATGGGGGTAAGCCCCTGTAAAAAATTTGCGTCTTGCATGTGTACATATCTACAAACATACGTGCAGCCCTAAAGCCGCGCTGTGGGCGTGAGTTCTGAGTTTCAAGCTTCGGCTGGTCCGGAAGACCTCAGGAATGAGACCAAGACTTCAAGAAACACGTCGTTACTGAATGAAACATCGGCCGAGACAGCCCGCTGCCTGCTAACCGCGCACCCGTGGTCGTCATCTTCTACTGAGCACTCCCACAAAGTTCCAACAACCCAATTGCTTCTTCCACTCACATATGAAGAATAGCCTTCAATATCTGTGCTTTCCATGCAGAATTCACCATTTCAGAGCCTCTCATTGGTGAACCAAAAAAAAAAGTAAGTTCCTCGACGTGCACAAGGCTGTCTGTCTGCAGTTATCACTCTTATCTCAAAGTGTGGGAGCATCAAATAGGCATAGCCAAATGACAGCTTCCTCTGAGGCGGCGAACATCCAGAAAAAAAAAGGGAAAATTGCTTTTTAACACCTTACATGTCAAGCTAGGGTATGGCTAAAGGTAGAATAACTGCCTGACAATGGCCTTACCACTCAGACACTGCTGAACAAGGTTTTGAACATATCAATTAATTACATATAATAGCAAGTAGAAGAACTAACAGAAAAAACATAACACCATACCTATCAGCAACAGTTCATGACATACAAAATAGTGCGACCAAAACTTTTTTAAAACAAATGTTGTAAATAACATGGAGCTTGAGGTTTCGCTAATACTATCAAGCCCACAGTAGACACAAGAGCTCCGTGCTGAGGCGTTTCTTTCTTCTAGAAATACAGGTGGCGCAACTTTCGCCTTCCTCTGAAGGTTACCACCGTTACCGTTGGTGATGTCATGGTTACGGCTGCGCGCGGAGGCACCGTGGCCGTCGCATCAGGTGCGTCTCAAGCGTATCCGCAGCACCACAGTAGCGTTCGCGCAAAGCTTTGCACGGCATCGCACCACGTCTCGCGAATAATTCAACTAAAAGTTGGCACTACCTTTATTTCGCTAAATACCCAGCCCGTAGCCAGTAGCAGTAGAGCTAACTTCGTTGCGTTCGATTCTTGTTTCACACCAGCAAGGTTGAAAGAAGCTAGCGAACAAATGGTAAAAACAACGCGGAAGCAGTGGTGCGTGGAGCAGACGATGCAGCAGGTGACAGGTTTCGCAGTTGCCACGGGCGCTACCGGCCGCCTCATCCTATTCCCCGCTCCAACCAAACTAAGCCCCTGCTCCAAACTTTTCCACCGGCACAACGCCCAGAACAGACCGAAGATCTCTTCGATTTGGCTGCACCGGCGGCACCAGCTTAGCGGGTGCGGCCAGCACCTTTCTCCTCAATTAGCTGGTGCCGCACGCATGCTCTGCACTGGCTCTCTTGTATTGTCGCAGTACAAGCGCAACGCCCGAAACATATACAGCATTTTTCCGGCGTTCATTTATTTTTATTTATTTATCACATACTGCGGACCAAGTAAGGTTCATGCAGGAGAGGGCAATACAGTTCAAAATTCTTCTACATACATACACTTCCGCTGCAGTATACATTCACTGCAGAACAAAATTCATGTACATTAAAAATTCGTGAAAAACAAGGGACAAATACAGGCAAAGAAGCAGACTTAAGCAACAAGAAAAGGGTATAGTTTCATCTCGGCGTGTTGAGCATAGGGGAATCATGGGGCAGAGCATTCCAATCAGAGACAGTTCTCGGGAAAAATGAATACTTGTAAATGTTAGTGCGTGCAAATATAGGTGTAACGCTACGACTATGTTTATGACGTGAAGAAGTTTGGTACGCCAGCGTCACTCGGCGTCGACGCTGCCGGTGACGGTGGCCGAAACGTCTACTTCTGGACGATTCAGATATCTGCACCACCAGCGTCAGCGCCGAAAGCGAGGCGACGAATGGAGAATCAATCGGCGCATGGCTGCCAGCTACTTCCGCTACGTAACAGCATCGTTTGCTACTGTCAAAATGGCTGCCGCCCGCCTCGGATCTATTAAGTCGTCGCCGTGCTTTGTGTGACCCGGACATTTTCAACCGATGCTTGTATTTGACTTACCTCGTTTTTCAGAGGCTTCGACAGGAAGCGCTGAGGATTTCTTCGAATCGTTTTCGAGCGCCATACTCAAGTCCATTGGTAGGGTTAGCAGGCCTGACTGTATTGGCTGAATACGTGGCCTCATAGATGCACAACAGCTTCCAAGCTCAGAGGCTGTTTATTGCGAGTTTCTGGTTCTTCCTATTCTCAATCAATGCCAAAAGTAAAAAGAAACTTTTCGGTGGTACTTTCGTTTGTTTTTCTCACCTCAGAACTGCAAATAAAACAGGAAACCGATTTTTAGGAATATTTCTTGTTGCTGCATTGACGGACACTGCACACTGCTTTGCGAGATCTTGGCTTCATTCTCTTCGACACACTCTGCATCGCTATTTTTTTCTTTATTAGATGCAGCCCGTTACGAGCGGCAACGCGACTTCGCCGTAACGATCGCGAATTAAACGCGGTACAGACGTGCGATTTTCCATGCGATGCGGCGTGCGGTGCGACAATGCGACAGCAGGAGTGGTGACGTTTCGTGACGTATCATCGCATCACACCGCCTCAAAGCCGGTGCGGCAAGCATCAAATCGGCCAGATATTTTCATCGTCGCATCACACCACCACATGGCAGTAGCCCAATCACAACGCGAGCATACAAGTGGCATCACGACGCTAGTAGTGCAATCTCCCTGTCACCGCTCCTATCACCTGTGGTCCAAGGCTCCAGGCGAGTCGATGAAGTGGTGCGAGTGTGGATTTGCTGACATCGCTGACTGCGGCGACGTGACAAACATCGAGTACATTTCCCTGGTGACGGGATATTATTCCGGAATTAATAAAGTGGTGTTTGCAGTGGGCCATTTCTGATCGGCAACGCCAGTTTTAAAACCGTTAGCGAGAACGGAGATTGTGGGGAGTGATGCAAGGTCATTTCACAGGTAAACACGGCTACCAGCTTTTCTGCGCTGGTTCTCTTCACTTCAACCTTTGCTCTTCACATCGATGGCATCGAAAAAGTAATAGCGTATGCAAATGCATTACATATGAGTGCAAAGCCTAATAGTGTTGTCAAAAACAAGCGCTCGATGACGAGCTCGCGTGTGAACGGCGTAGCCAACTCCCGGCACCCGCCATTCTAGGCCTACCTGTCTGAGTCGTGAATAATCAACTGTTACAGCTGTTGCGACGTGCTTGTCATTCACGAAGACGTTTTATTCATTATTTTTTAGGGAACAACGAAGCGTGGCAGTGCAATGTTGTTTGTTTTGAGCTTCACTACGAGGATACAAAGTTGTCCAACCACGCATGCCGAGGCACCGCATGGGAGTGGAGCCAGCCGCTGATAGCTCCATCGCTGCCGTGTGTCCTAAAACGTCGCATGCTGCACGCCGCGCCACGCGGCACCGCACGCCGCATCGCACAGAAAATCGCACGTCTGTCTCGCAGTTTTTAGTGCTGCACGAGTTCTCCACCGCCCTGCACTTGCTCAAGAGGAGGTGCAGAGAAGTGCAGCATGGCATGCACCCCTTCCTCCTCTCAAGCTTGGAGCAGAGAACACTGCATGTTGTTCAGGGCGTGCGTGCAAAAACAGTTGAGTCAAGCTCGTGCCACGGACGGGTAATCTTAGCTGTGTCTTATCGGCAGCAATTATGATGGGTGTTTTTACATGTGTGTCTCATGAGAAGAAAAATCCATTGTGGTTTGGTTGACTGTAGTAAGAATAGTAGAAAAATAAAAGTAGCTCGAGGTGCAAGCTGTGCGCGCTCACTTCGTCTTTACGAAAGCGCGAAGCTGATGCGACAGGAAGCTGTCCAGTTAAAACATGTATTCAAGGGACCTTGCGTACGTGCGTGTCTTATAATGATATAGCATGAAGAGAAGTGGCGCTGTCGGTCAAATAACATCCGGGATTTTTCGCTTTTTCTTGCTCTATGGCCTTGCACGCACTTGAATAGAAGGCCTAAAATACGGGTATCGATACTTAACAGCTAAATCATCGTTATAGACAGTATGAACAGTCTCTGAAATCATACTCATGGAAGCGTCCGGCAGCATTGCTGTACCTGGGAAGATGACTGACAATCTTACGTACAACGAGCAAACGATCAATTAAAACACAAACTCCATCAACACCTCCTCTGTTACTGTACAGATTGCCGCTGTTGGAATCATCGATGCTGCCGAGCAGTCTTTTATACGGCATGAAGACAGCCATTGCGGCAGTCTTTTGGTAAACAGCATCATCGATACACGCCGCGTTGGCTGTTCGACAAACTCTGCCTGCACTTGCACTTCGTTTTGGCAGTAGCCGCCGTGCTGTAGTGTCGCGGCTGCACCTGCACTGGCTGTACCGACGCTGCGCGCCCACAGCACCGCTGGCACTGTTGTGACACTTTTCAGAACTATAGTGCAGGCAGTGCAAGCCGAATCGAAGAGACTCGAGATTCAGTTGAAGGCATCAACTGCACCACCGCAATTTTTTTTGCGCTTTTAGTAGCTTGTTTCTGCCACCCTCACGCTCGGGGCCTGTCCATCGCCATACACGGCCAGCCTGGAGTGCACATAAGCGCACTTCTTTCTTTACGGCCTTGTGACCCGTCGCGAAAGCAATGGGAGAGTTTCCGAGTACGTTCGCCACCATAGAGTTTGCTAATATACACTAGAGGGAACTCTGAGGCTAGTGTCTATGGGAGCTGCAACGCATGGCGCTTCAGTGAGCATGGAAATGATGGGTAGTACACATATTTGTCTAATATTTGTACATCTGGACTGGTTTTGGATCCGTGTATGTTCGTGTGGCTTGGAGTTGTTTTCTTACGAAACAAAAATCAGCAAATGTTCAGCAGTTTGCACTTCACCACCTTATTGTTTTAGACTTGCCTT